ACTGGCTGTTCCAAAGCTCCTCTACTAGAATTATTCAGAGTGTTGAAAAATGGGCTAATGGTTCCTTATGAGCCCTAATGAGGTAACAGCGTGTCACGTAAAAAACGTACATTTAAAAATATTTTCCTCCCACCTTGTAATTTCCTTCAGTTACCTCAACTCACATTCGCTAAGTCTGATCTTTATAAACCTGCAGAATAGTAAGCAAAATAAAGGGCCAGAGCAGTAAAGGGACCTACTCTACTGTTCCCTTTACTTGTACCTCTGGAAAATGAACCAGATTCTACAAGAGAACTGTACTCAGTAGTCCTCTTCAGTGACTAGCTATGAAGGGAGCAGTATTTCTCCTGAGTCAACTGTGCAGAGGCACAACCATCTGGCAGAGACTCAAATGTGTATTAGAAGCAAATCTCCCTCGTTCCCGAATATACACCAGCGGAGGGTTATGACTGTTGGGGTGGAGGGAGAAAGTGAACCCCTTCAACTACTTTTCTTTCTTGACTCTGAAAGCTGATAAAGAGAGTAAGTGGTGAGAAAGTGCAGGGAGCAAATGCACACTTCCTTCCACTTACTCTCTCCTAACTACCTTCAACCTAACTTACTGTTCCCACTGCTAAAGCTGAAACTGACAGTTATTGATCAACTTCTACTGGACAAAGGGGCTCGTTTGAATTCTCATCTTCCCCAATCTCTCCACCGAGGCATTCAAAACTCTCCCTCCATGGCTGATGAAATACAACATTTTTCTGTTTCTCCACTTTATTGCTCTTACTTTCTCTTCCCTGTTTAAGTGACACCCCTAATTTTCTGTTAATGAAAGGAAATGATTCTCTTATCTTTTCTCTCCTTACATTCTCCCTCATCAATTTAATCTGTCCCCTTGGTTTCTAGTCTCTAAGTATATGAGATCTGAAAAACCCTCTCTCAAACTCCATTCATGATTTCAAGATCCACAGCCATTTCCAACTGCTTAAATATCCTGCCTTATTGTATATATAAAACCACCTTTCTCTCTCTACCCCCTCACCTTCCAAGAGAAGAAATAGATCCCTCTCTGGATGTCTTATTTCTAGTAATGATCTCATCATTCTCCTAGTCATACTTGCTGGAGACCAGTGTCATCTTTGATACTTCCTTACGTCTTTCTAATATTCCAAATACATTCAGTTCCTCAATCCAGTAAGTCGTACCTCTATGATGTCTCTTCTATCCTTCTGCATTCCTATTGCCACTACTATAACTCAGATTTTTACCATTTCCCACATAGATGACTCCAAAGACCTCCTTAACTGGTATCTTTTCTTATAGCCTTCCTGTTGCTAAATTATTCTTTCTGAAGCATATCCGGGACCATGGTTCCTTGATGAAAAACTCTGAGTGAGCTTTCGCTGGCTAACAAACTTCTACTCAAGGAGGCACTCCAGGTTTTTAGACCTCATCTCTCCATTTTACTTTACACACACACACACATATAATAAACATATGTACATATACATATATACATACATTTTCATACACACACACACACACACACACACACACACACGCACCCCTATGTTAGAGCCAAGAGGACTTTTCTCTGTTCCTGAAACAATCCCTACATTTGAGCATTTCGTACTTTGGCGTTTATGAAGTTCCCTCTATCTAAAATACCTCTTCTCATTCTTTTCACCAACTTTCTATCTATTCTTCAAAACTGAGCCCAACTGCCATTTTCATGGAGGCTCTTTCATATCTTCCCCAATGGATGGTATTTCACTCCATTCCTTAAAACCTTTTAGCACTTTATATATACTTCTGCATCTCTGTCTCAGGGTATGTTCAGAACTTATTATCACTTGAAATTGCTTTTTTCTAGGATCTGGAGCTCTGAAATCTCCCTCTCTAATCAAATTTTCCTGTTCTTCCCCTACTCCATTGAATCTATTTTGGACTTATAGCAATCTCTGATCTTTCAATTAGGAATAATCTATGGTACAAAAAACCATTTTCTTAGTCTCTTGCTATCTTACTTTGTCACTTGGTCATCTCCCCATCCAAAATCCCAATGACACCATTTTAACAATAAGGATATCCATCTCTAACTGGGTATTCCACAGACTCCTCAAATTCAGCATGACTGACACTAAATTATCTCCTTCCATAAACTTACTGTCCTTATGCTCTCTAAGCTAATTAAACAACTTGAATTCCTTATTCATTGCACACATTCAGTCATTCACCAAGATATACTGCGACCATCCATCCCTCAATTTACAAATTCTTTGTCCCTAAATTAACATTGCTAATGAGGACTCCATCACTGTTTATCTAACTGGTCCTTTGGCCTCCAGTAGCTCCCACCTCCGATTCATCTTCTATTACAATAGTTAAATCTTTCTTAAATACATTGATCTAAAAGTGTCACTGTCCAGCTTAAAAACCTTCCAGGACTCTACATTTCCTGTAAGACAATATCCAAATTCCTAAGCATGGCAGTCAATCCTATTACCTGCTCTTTCTCCAAACACAGATCCTACGTTAAGGACACTGAGACACACTCTTCTCTGCTTTCATGTAATCACCACTCCATGTTGGTGAAACTGTTCTCACTCAGGTCTAGTTCACCTATCCTGGGAAGACTGCATGAGACTGCTCCATTTTCCCAGCTCCCAAACAAAGTCTCAGTCACCTCCTCCTCTGCATTTCCACATTACTTTGCTCATGTAGCTAACAGACCTCTTTCCACATATACGATATTACACATGTACTCACTGGTCTTCCTCCTCCAGTTTGGGGACTTCTTAAAACAAGCTTTTTTTTTTTTTAACCATTTTTTATTGATTTATAATCATTTTACAATGTTGTGTCAAATTCCAGTGTAGAGCACAATTTTTCAGTTATACATGAACATATATATATTCATTGTCACATTCCTTTCTCTGTGAGCTACCATAAGATGTTGTATATATTTCCCTGTGCTACAAAAACAAGCTTGTTTTTAATCCATCTTTACGTGCACAAGATCTAGTATGGCACATAAAAACTTTCAACAATTGTTTACAAAATAAATAAATCTAACTTTAGAACACCTAAAATCAATCTACCCTAAATGTTTTATCAAATAATCTAGAGTAGAAACGGTAGAAAAGTATGAGTGAGTCCTAAACACATAGGAAAAATGAAATGAGAGGGTGATTCCGGACACTTGCACCAGGTCCCGAGGGGAGGGCAGGGACAGAAGGGCCACTGAGCTTACACTTCTCTCTTCACCGCTTTTCCCGCAGACTGCAGAGCCACACCGGGATAACAGGACTACAGGGAGGAAGCAATCAAGCCAGCAGAGAAATGTAGGGGGTGAGGCAGAAGGAGTGAGTGGGGAAAAACAAAACCCTCAACTGAAGCTGCAAAAAGGGAAGTGTCCAGGGCAACGGACTGCACACTCCGGCTTGCTCATGACTGCACACTATCGCCACCCTCGCTGCTTCCACCACCCTTGTCCATGACTACCATGTCACTACGAGGACTGCTATCAGGTGCCAGACACCATGCTATAAACTGCCACATGTATTATTCAACGTTCATGACAACCCTATTAGCAAGGTGTTAGTCACATTCAGAGACAATTAAAACAAAAAAACCCCTAAAAACAATTAACTACACTGCCCAAGGTTTCACAGCTAATATGTTAAGTCCTAAAGCCAGAATGTGAACAAGGAAGGATCAGGTTTCCGAACCCATTCTCCTTTTGCTCTACTATTCACGGGTCAAGTTACACATAAGTTGGAGACTGGCTTTATTGCTTTTGTGTTATTTAGTTATGTTTGTAAGCACATCTTATTTTCTCTAGTACTAATAAAGGTATTTTTGAGGGTAGAATCCATGTCTAATATTTTTTATTTCTTCCCCAGCATCTCATAATGAGCCTTCTTTATTTGATTCATTTCTCACTGTACTTGTGTACTAGCAGAAATAAAAGCGAGGTACCTCAGGCCCTTGTTAGCATTAAGTCAAATACAAAAATAGATGATTTAGCAACTTTGATAACTGTATGTGCTGGGGTAAAGTCATCGATGGTAATAGGCCCCAAAACACAAACCACAGTTAAGGTTAGTTTGGGTTTGATACAATATTAAAAGTGCTATATAGGATATATTGATTGCTCTTTTCTTCATATCTGGGCATAAATATAATAATGACTAGGAGCAGTCATACACTATATCAAGCACTCGAACAACTTACTTAAATGTGGAAATAAACATGCTTTAAATAATGGCAAAACCTTTTTCAGTTCTATTTTAGAGATATAAAAACATATGAGAGTGGACATATATCTTCTACATACACTGAGTTCTAATTTCAATGTCAGCACATCAGGCAAAAATCAGTTAGAGACAAAACAACCCTTGAAAAATTCCTTAAGTTTCCCTTAAAGCCTCCAATTCATCTTCTATTACAACAGTTAAATCTTTCTTAAATACACTGATCTAAAACAGTACTCCAGCTCTCAATAAATCTATCTCAGACAGCTTTTCCTCCTATATGGAACAGATCACTTTTTCTTCTGCTGCATGCCACATGAAGTCTTTGGCTCATGTTCAGGGCCAAATTGAATGAAAAGGCGTTCCTTTACACACTGGAATCATATTCAACACTGTGAGATTCTTACACTGTATCAGTTCCTGTAACAGGTATTTAGGAACTGATTCCTTCTGAGACAACAGCAGATTTACATTTTCCATCTCATGATTGCTAGGCATATGTTCATTGTGAAAAGAGAGCTAGAATTACCACTGTATTTAAATTATTTGGTGTTTTGCTTTTGGGTGTTTTGGTTTTAGTTTTGGTTTTTGGCTTGAGCCCCAAAATTTGATTTTGAATAAATTATATTCCCAGAAATGAGACTCTATTGTATGTGCTATCCCTTATTTATTTTGCAACCACAGATGTCTAGAAATTTGAGCAATAATCAAATATTATAGTGTAACATCTAAAAAAATAAAATAATTAACCTATCTTACCTTCATCTATTGATGCTTCACTACTGTATCCATCATACTCTGCAGATAGAGGACTATACTTTTGTCTTGTTTCCCAAGTATAGTTCTTTTGTCTACAATCTGTCATTGGTAGTCTGGAATTGTGTGTTCTCGATAAGGCCTCATGATATTTACCCAGTGCTTCATCTTCACTTTCAGAGGATGAACCATGTTCATCTTTGTCCATATAGGAATTATCTATTCAGAATGACAAGGAAAGCAGATCAAAATTTAAGGCAATAAAATATGATGAACTTGCTATAGTTTTACATACACATATGTTATATGCTTGCTTATATGTGTAATATGTCATATATACTCATACACAGAAAATGCTTATATATGTAATAGTCATATACATTCATACACAGAAATCACATAAACATATATACATATATACATAATCTGAATTTTCAGCTTTAGAAAAATATAATTTTTTCATTTAAGAAATCCAAGCTTTAGATTTTTATATTTTTATGCAAAAAAACTGATTCATATATTTAATTATATAATGTTAGTCACAGGGATTTTCCAACCGTGGTACAGATAAAATGAATAATAGGGCTTGCCCTCTTACACAATTTTTTTAAAGCATCAGTAGCACACAAAGAAAGTCAAAACTATTGCCAACATACATGGATCTGATTCAAATAATTCATGTTACAAGAAACATTTCTGGCTATTTCCTTAGCCAAAATTTTTATAACTGATGATCCTTAATGCTAGAAGTAGAACAAAAAAATGGACAGACATATACTATTGATGGAATTATAAATGGTACAACTTTTCTAGAGAGCAATCTGGTAATACATATCAAACTTTGAAATCTGCATAGTCTTTTACCCATTTCTAGGAATTTATCAATTCCATTTCTAAGAATTCAGCCTAAGAAAATAATTAACAGGTGACCAATGATATGTATTTGAGGCAATTTACTACACTGTGTTTAATAGCAAAAGAAAACAAAAATAAAATATAACCTGAAAGTCTATCACTGGGCCTAACTTAAGTAAATTATGATATATCTATGCGATGATACACTATGCAGTCATTAAAAATGAGGGGTGGACTTACAAGAATTCACAGGGAAAGAATAATTATCACATCATGTTAAGAGAAAAGAGAAAGTTATAAAACAGAAGTTATATTCCCATTAAAAATCTATATATGCATACACATGCCTCCATGCAACATGTATACACACATCCATGCAGTATATAGTTATACATACATATAAAAATGTCTGGAAGCATATGCACCAAACTTAACACTTACTATCTGTGGAAGGTAAACTTACTCGAGATATAAAAACATATGAGAGTGGACATATATCTTCTACATATACTGAGTTCTAATGTCCAAATATATATCCAAATTTCAAATAAATATATCCAAATTTCAAATAAATTTTTCATATGGTGAATTAATTGACTTAATATTACTTTAAGAAGCACTAGTTATCACAGTTTTTTTAAAATGTAAAAAATTTGAAACTGCATCATGTTGAGATTCATTTAAACCAAGATGCAACCTTCTCAGAATTATAAAACAACTATAGAAAGATGAAGAGACCACAGCAGTTAGAATTTATTAGTTTAGTCTAGATATTTCTCTCATAATATTCCATTAACATCATCCACGCTAGAAGAAACAAGATTTGAAATTCAGGTGAGGAGACACAGAATAAGCAACTTTAAAATACAGGATAAAAATGGAATGTTTAGAGTTAGAAGTTAAGGAAGCTTGGTAATCACTAGTCTAAGTTCCACTTTTTAATTCTGTAAAATAAAGCCAACAAAGGGTAAACCTACGACTAATGTCATATTCTGCACTATCCAAAACAGTAGTCACCAGTCACATGCAGTTATTTCAACTAATTAGAAATAAAATTAAAAATCCAGTCCCCCAGTGCCACTAGCCACATTTCAAGTGTTCAACAGCCACATGTGGCTAGTGGTTACTATATGGAGTGATACAGATATGCAGAGCTTTCCCATCATTGCAGAAAGTTTTACTGGGTGGTGACAAGATAATGGCATGTCTGCTCTAGAACCTAGGCACCCTGACTCCCAACTTTTAGCACTCTGTGGGATACCATGGTGGTGGTCTTAAGACAGCAGGGGAGCTCCGAGGAGGGTAACCAGAAATTCTATAGTCATACTTCAACTATTATAAAATATTACCTAAAGTAGTCCTGCATTCAGATATAGAAGGAAACTCCTCCTCCTCTTATTATAGGTTATAAGCTCTGTCAGAACCTAGAACATGGAACTAGTAATATTACAGTTTGCTATCTGAAGGGATAATCCACATGGGTCAAATGATTTTCAAAACAATTTTTAGAATATAACATGTTTAAGTTTAGTACTGACTATAATCTAGAACATTTGAGAGACATTTGGTTTCTTTAGGTACTAGCACACTTCTTAATGAAAACAAATGAAAACAAAATTTAGAATTCTGTACTGCTACCTATGAAGTATTTATTGCTAGTGTCCACTCTGTTATTTAATGAATAAAATAATATGTAAACAATCCCACTTAGTTTTATTTCTCTATTAATTTTTACTACTTCAAGTAATAAGGTTATCAAAACTAAACCAAAGCTACCTACCAAAGCCCACTGAATCTGATATTTAAAAAACTGCTAGAAGAATTGACTTCAAAACGGGTGTATAAAACCTCTTTTAATTAGCTCATCCATCCTGGATAAGCCTCTACTATATCATTTAAAAATCATTCATACAATTGATAAATAGCAGATCCCTACTATGCATGAAGTCATGTAGCAGAATTGAAAATGTCTTCATTTCTACTGCTACTCAGTTTTCTGTCATTTTATGAGAATGCAAACATTTACAGAATTTTATGAGAATGTAAACAAACATTTAAAGAATTCCAGATATATCTTTTACAAGTAAAATCCAGTGCACTTCTGGTGATCAGATCAGTAACGAGTGGAAAAGACTAAAGGACAACCAGGAGAAATTACTGGCAATATGAAGCAATTCTGCAACCAAAACCAAGTAACTGTTGGCTAATTGTTTTGAAAACTCTAACTGCTTAGCTGGAATCTCAATTCTACATAGAGAACTCATGAATAATAATAGATTGTTCAGGTATACACACTGGAAACACAACCATCATATAAAACTCTTAATGTATGATTAAATGAATAGACACATATTCACGTTATTCAATAAAACAAAAATCTATCGCTCTCAAGGAAAAACATAAAACATTCAATAGGTTCTTATTAGGACAGATTGTGAAGAGCAACACTGTATAAAGGACTTAAGGGTTGGTTACAAAAATAAAAAATTTTTAAATTCAACTATTTAAAAAAAAAAACCACCGAAACATCCCCATCCCCCAGCAACACTCTTGCTTTCTGAGAGGACCCAGTCCTCTGGGAATGCTCTTGCCTTCTGAGATGGCCCGCACTCTGTCTACGGGGTGTGTATCTCCCTGAATAAACTTGCTTTCACTTTTAAATAAATAAATAAATAAATAAATAAATAAATAAATAAATAAAATAATCTATTACAAGATTGGAGAATAAAAGAATAAAGAAAATAAAGGTAACAATCTGCTTTAAAAAAATAAAATAAAATTCAAATCCTCCCAGTAAGAGGATCCAGAAAGTCTTAAATTAGATATAGAGACAAGTATAGAAAAATTCAGAAATTTGGATGATATTTTCCTAATTAAAAAAATCAAGAGACAGTTTTATCACTCAAACTTACACTAGGAGACCTCACCTTTTTCTGGTATTATCTTAGAATATTTTTCATCTTTATTCTTTGCTGTTCCTTTCTTGGCAGAAATGGCTTCACTTTTCTTTGTTTGTATGTCTCCTTTCACTTTGTAGTATTGTGTTGGATTCATTTGTTCTTTGATTTTTCCATGTACCTTATCTTTAGAATTACTTGATGGCACAGGATGCGTGTCTTCTTTCTTCGTGGGTTTCTGCATCTTATGTCTATTGCTTTCCAAAATATCTTTTGAAGAACACTCATTTCCTTTAGATCCTTTACTCTTAATATGTTTTTCGGCTTTCTTTAAATAATTTTCTTTAATTTCTTGATACCTTACCTCCTTTAAGTCATGCTTACCATTGTTGGAAATTCCTAATCCATTTTTTCTGTCAGTACTTTCAAGGTCTTGACAAGCAGATCCGGCCCTTGCATTTGGTTTGATAACTGATATCCCACCATCACTCACGTGGCCTTTCAAAGAAGAATTACCAGTACTATTGGTTTCTTGATTTTCTGATAGAGTCTGTTGTCTAGTGTTAATATGTTTAAATAGTCCTTCTTCATTCATTCCTTGATCATGCTTTTGTGAAACTGAAGTATCATAACAATTTATTTGATATGCTCTGTGCTGTAAATTGGATTTTGTTTTCTGACAATTAATGTTTTGGGGCACTTCTGGTAACATGGCATGTTCTTGTTTAGAAATATCTACAGCTTCTGCTGCCGCAGAGGCTTCCTCCTCCAGGCGAAAGCCACTCATCATACTCGTCACCTGCTCAGCGACTGAGTCTGTGAGAGCACAGCTGACTTCCCCCACAGCAGCAGTCAAATCTTCCACAGCATTACTGATTGTGTCCACCAGAGAGGACACTGAAGGCAGATTCTGCTGAAAATTTCTGAAAAATGCCATTTTCTAACTCCTTGTTCCTAAAAAGTGCAATAATGGAATTTTCTCTTCTCAAAATATCAACCACTTTGGAGTTTGGATTCAACATTTACGTAAATGTTGTTACTCATTAGCTCAATATTAATATTTCATATCGTGGCTTTTAATCTTTCTGTAAATGCTTATGCAACGGAAGAAATATGCTGAAGTAAAGACTCTTCCAAAAAAAAAAAAAATCAAACCACTTGGTTTAAATGTTTAACGACATTTTTTCCCACTGCACAGCTATCGTAACAGCAGCAAGACAATATTTTTCCCTCAAATACTATTGGGTTTTTATTCTATACCTGCAAGAAGAAGTATAAAAAGGATTTTATTATGTACTTTTTAGTTTATTTATTAATAGTCTATGTATGGGAACTACTCTATCTTATTAACAAAGTACCAATATCATTTCAAATTAAAAAATATATTAAAAGGAAAATATCTAAACAATTTTGCATACAAGTTAGAACAGGGGAGAGGAAAGGGTGAACACCTGCTGAGTGGTTACTATGTGTAAGGCATGGCGATTTACAAGCTTTACCTTACTTATCTTACAATAATGCTCGGAGGTAAGTATTATTATTCTTATTTAATAAGTGAATGAAAAACAGTCTCAGAAAAATTAATAAGGTCCCCGAGACCTTTCCCATGGATCCTCAAGGTCAGAATTATTTTTACAATAAGAGTAACAGGATATTTAACTTTTCACTTTTATTCATTCACAAATGAGCACTGGGGCTTTTGCAGGGGCCATATGACAGATGGAATGCAGAAGCAGACGTGAGAATCCAGTTGTTTCTTTCTTCTATCCCAGTCATTAAAGAGATTTGCAACGTAAAAGAATGTCACTCATCTCGTCAAACATTTGTTTTTGGTTTTAGAAAATACATAGTTGTTTAAAAAAGTAATACATTTATATTAACATTCATAAGCTTACTGTTGATTTTTAAAAAATAAATTGATAAAAAATTTTTAATTTTTTCAGCCTTTAACTTCTAATTTGGTACATGTCTGTAGCCACAACTCACATAAACAAAAAGCTCTCTAGGGTCCTCGATAATTTGTAAGAGTGTAAAAGGGTAAGACCAAAAAAAACCAGAAACGCTGGCCCAGAGAAGTAGTGGCGTCTGCTACAAGAGGTATCTTTGACCAGTTCATTCTATACAAGTGACAAAAAAACAGGACTGATGTGAAGTATGAGAAACATTAAACTTGATCAAACCCAAACCACATAAAGTACTCTACTTTCCTAATGCAGAAGCTAGATGATGTAATTCAATAAGCAATGACTTTTACAAACTATGAAGCTATCACCTTTTAAGATACTCAAAGTAAGAGAAAAGCATCTCTCCGACTAAGTACATGGACAAGAAAAGCAAGGTTTCTTTCCTACTGTTCCTTAAAATTCTTCCAAATTAATGCCTTGCTTTTACAATTTTCAACTTGCACCCATTGTCATTTACATAAGCCAGTCTTTGGAAATAGCAAATAAAGAATTCTTACAGTAATTTTAAAAAATAACTCCAAGGAAAATTTAACAATATCATAGCCCTCATCTTTCCTAGCATCTAGTAATATTATGTAATATAATATGCCTACAGTGCCAAGGGAGGAAGAGGAACACTAATGTTTATAATCAGAATTTAGACACTAAGTTACTAGGGAAAACCAACTGCTCCAAACAATAAAATTATCCATGAGCTGAGAATTCAACAGCAAGTAATGAAAAAGGATGAATATTTTTCAAAAGCCTTCTAGGGACATGGGAAAAAAACCCTCTAGGGAACTATTTGGACAATGGACTTAAGCTATAAAAAGTAACAAGATATGTCCTTCTTTAAAGCATATCTGCTCATATTACAGGCTCAAAAGCACCTTATACACGAAAAATAAAACTGTCATTCTGTGATAGTATACAATTCATTTTTATGCAGTATAATAGCAACTTGTGGGCAATAAAAAGATAACTGAACATAATTTACTTAATAGATCTTTTAACTCTCAGAATAGTGGCTCCAAGTTAGTTTCCTATATATCAAAATCAACCTTTTTACTAAGGCTACATATATTTTAAATAAAGCAATAGAAGTATAGAAAGACCGAACAAGACAAGCAGCGATATGATACTTACAGTTTTTGTCTTGTGAATTCTTCCTTGTACTGTATCCTGAACCAAGATCTGGAAACCCGCCAACATTTTCAAAACAGAACTTCTTATTAATATAGAGAAAAAGGAGCAGCATCAAGATAATAAACACCCCAACAGCTGACAAAAATCCGACTGCCTCTGGAGATACTAGAGGGGAAAAAAAGTCACAGTTGTAAGCATTTATTCTTCTTTAAGTTACAGATAAGAAGGAAACCCTATACATGTTAGATTACTGCCTTCTTTGAATTATATTTTAAATTTTTCACAGTGCACAATAGTTTATAAGACAAACACTGCACAGTTTAATGAGTTGTTTAATTTATTCGACAGTATTTATTGAAATCTTCTAAAAGTTTCCCTATAAATTATGTTGGAACAATCTTAAAAGACAAGAGTCTACAAAATAGGCAGTTATCATATATTCAGTCCACTGAAGAGTATTACAAAATTTTCAAAACAAGAATTAGAAAAAATTACTTCTCGAGCACGGGTACATTCATCAAATTTGTAAGAATGTATATTATTATTCTTATCTCTAACAGCTTCAATGGCCTTTTTCTCACTAAACAAACTGAACTTCTTAACCTGGCATTGAAAAGCTCCAGCCTCTCTTTTCAATATTACACTCTAGTCAAATGGTTCCACTCACTGACTCAGAATCAACCATGCACATTACCGCATGCCTTGTTTTTGTTGGCGCTCCTCCCCTTCCTTGCCTGGAATGACCCAGTGTCATCTCTACCATATCCCACTCATTCACTCAACCAACAAATATTTTTGGAGCAGCTGCCATACACAAGGCATTATATACACATTTTCTGTCTTCCTTGAACAGTCTGGTGAAGGCAGTTACAACACAGTGCAATAAAGGCTATGACTGGGGAAGAAGAGGGATCATGAGAACCATCAAAATACTGAATCTAGTGTTGAAGGATCAAGTAAGCTTTTCTGAAAGTTATAGTGTCTATGATTGTAGTTTAAGATTAGTAAGAATGAGCCAAATTAACACTGTTCAAGGTAGAAGAAACAGCATGTGCAGAGATGGGAGATCACTGTGTATTCCAGAAACTCCATGGAAATTTTATGATGATGAACTACCAGATTCTCAAGAGAATCTGATCTCAAGAGAATACATGAAATCAACCCAGGATATCTGGTAGAGTGAGAAAAGGCAAAATGCTCTCCAACTTCTCCAATCCTCAGCAATCTCTCTCCTTTCAACTTTTGCATTATCTGTCTCTACACCAGTCATTTGGAGTTAGTAACTAAATGTTTGTATCCCCAGTACCTTACAAATAATATTCAAGTATTAGTTGACAATGAATCCTAAGCCTCAAATATCCCCTACTCTTTCTTCCTCCACTGCTCAAGCAGTAACTAAAATGTCATCTCCTCCCAGATTATTTTGTTTTTAATCCGAAGAGCATGACAATTAGCATCTAACTTGTTTAAAATGAAGTCACCAACCAGTCAATGATGAGTGCTTTAATCTTCTAGCTTTTCGTTATTTATGAAAGCCAGGCATCCCAGGTGTAGAACTGATATTATGTTATAGTCTACTTATATCTGGGTCAATAATATTGTGGTAGAGGATGGAGCAGAGAATGATACTGTAAGGGATGGGCAGTGAGAGTGAGGGGAGGAGAGGGTAGGAAGGGCAGGAGTGCTGTCTGAGTATCAGGCTGGTGCTGAGGAACAAATTCTGCTACTAGAACCAAGAAGTTATGCCCAGACATCAACCCTTCCTGTCTCAGGTTGGAGAATAGTCAGGAAAGAACATATTTTAACAAAAGAATCTAAGGCATATAACATAAAAGTGGTACGTATCAAGCCTGAAAGATGAGGTAAAAATAAAAGCAAAGGAATCATCGGCATTTCTAAAACCTGCGAAGAGCAAAGCAGGACAGAACCTGGTATGAAGCAGCAAAATGCTCAGTGTAATTATACTCCACCGTACACTGTAAACAGCAAGTATGTACAGGCGCTCCCTTTTTATTTAGCCCAGGCTCAAAACACAAAACACAAAACAATGTGATACCTTAAGTGAACACACAGGGTTAGATAACATGCAGCTTAAAAATCTCCCATCTCTTAGAAGACCCAATGAGGGAGAAACAGCTCATCTCACTTAAGTTAGTTACTGCTAATAAAAACCCATATAGCGTATATTCTGTGCCATTCACATACAGCAACAAACAAGTATTTTACATATATTAACCTTTTTAATCTTCATGTTTACCCTATTATTATCCTCATTATAAATTGAGATATGGAAATACTGAACTATGTGCCCAGCTAGTAAGTGGAAGAAGAGTCAGGATTCAAGCTCTGGCTCCTGAGTCTGTGTTTTCAACTACTGCTCATACTGCTTCTCCCATTTTCCTTCTCTCCTTTCCTTCTTGCCTCTTCTATGTTTCGCCTCAATGCTTATTTCTGTGTTCTTCTTTCATCTCCCTCCCTCCCACTTTTAAACATAACCTAGGGAGAAAGGTCAGCTATAAACAAGTATAATATAGCAAGCAGTGTAACAGAAGTCTAGAATATAAAGTATTACTGGAACACAAAGGAGGAATACCACCTGGGACAGTTACAAACACTTCGGGAAGGAGCTGACACTTGAGTAGGGTATGAAAGATTAATAGGAACGCTATTAAACAGTAAAGGGGCAGATGAAAAAACATGATCAAAGACACAGGAACAGTGCGCACAGCATTCTACAAATACTAACAGGCAATAGTCATGGCTGTCTTATTTACCTCTGTATCCTCAAAGCACCTAGCACAACGCCACCAATGACATTATTAAATAAACATCTGTAAATGAATGAATATGTGTTCAGGAAAGATTAAGAATATACTAGAGGAGCTATGACTAGAAATGAAAACAAGGTTCAAACTGGCAAAGAACCTGGACTACCATCCTAAAGATTTTGTACTTGTAGAACTACATTGATTAAAGCAATTCAAAAGTCCAGAAAAATAGCAGGGAGTGAATGGTGGCAAAATATGAAGACTGGGCAGTATCAGTGGTGGCAGAGAAGAGGGGTGAATCTGTTCAGGGAAAATTGACAATATCCCAATGAATTAGACGAAGAGGATGAGGATAAAGGGAAGCTGAAGATAACTCTAAAACTTCTAGCTTGAGTGAATGGGTGAATGGTAACACTATTAACCACGATGAAATAAATGGGAGGAAAGGCATGTTGTTTAGGGTGTGGGAGTGAAGACAGCAGTAGAAGGAGAGAGGTAAAAAATGAGTTTAGTTTATGACATGTTACATTAGAAATGTCAGCAGACTATTTCAGTGTGGATGTCTAGTATAGAGAAGGAACTATGAGGACAGTGCTCTGATGAAGGTCGGGTTAGTTACAAAATATTTGGGAGTTTTCCTTTTTGCTCATCCTACCGCATGTGAGACATCACTGACTAAACACAAGCCAAACTGGCAAATGGTAAGTACTAGGCTTTAATGATAAACCTTTTACTTTACAAATTTTTAGATAAATATATACTGTGAATTCGAACAAATTAAAAAATGAATCTTTCCCCATTAGGAGAAGGCAAAAGATGCCTTATTTGTATAAGGTAAATATACAACACAGCTCTCTTTTTATCCATTGCCTGACTAAATGCCCATTTTCTACATTCACTGAAAATATTTCATGTATTTAAAATTTTTAAATACTAATATGATTGTAGATAAGAAAAAAAGATTTTCCACTAGAAAATATTAAAAAGCTTCAGATTTTTATTTTTCATCCTTATTGCAGGATTGAAATATTATTTCAAATGACCTGACACCATAAGTTGGCCAGTAACAGTTCAAAGTATAAAAACATTTGATAAGTTCCACCTGTGCATAAAATGGCAATAGAAATACACACTGAAGGTGGGGAGGAGACTGTGGCTCAGTGCAGAGTATATGCCCAGCATGTGTGAGGTCCTGGGTTCAATCCCCAGTACCTCCATTTAAAGAAAGAAAAAAGAGTAACAAACTGAAATTAACCCAAAGACATGAATGCTATACACCATCAAAAAAGTTAAATATGATTACACTAACTCAGATCTCACTAAATACAGAGTAGATTTTCATTCAATATAAGATGGAATTTACTCCTAAACTCTAGATTATACTATGAATCTGCTTATAAAGTCATTCCACTTAAGTTTCCTGTGATTATGATTAATTTATCTGTAGATAAACCTACTCTTCAAAACATTCTAGATCATCCACTGCAGGTATGTAAGCGCTATTTTAAAAATGCATATAACCTTTTAAGAACCTTCAAAATCTGTAATAGTACACAGTTAATTAGCTTTGGTTAATATTATATAGTTGAAGAAGTAAATTTGCTGAATCAAATTTAATTTGAGTTCATCAGTAACTCAAAATTCACTAATATACTATTTTCTCATAATACAAATTTGTAAAATTTTAATGTGGTGAACAATAAAACCAGTATCAAAAAATAACAAAATTAACAATATGAAACATTTTAAAGAGTGTTTATTATTTGCTAGGGGCTGTTTTAAGCATTGCAAGCATCATCTCATTGAATCCTCACCACAGCCTAATTTTTCAAATATGGGTTCTAAGGCTCAGGAAGAATAAGCAGAATTTTCGGGATCTTAAAATTATTATTTAGTGATAAAATCTTGATCTGAATACAGGCACACTGACTCCTGCTCCTAAAACATTAAATAATGATCCTTACTGTTTCCTATTTGCCAGGCACTGTTATAACTGCTTTCATTTAAAAATGTAATGCTCAAAACAATTTTGTGGTAGGTAAACACTACACATTATCTTAGCCTTCAGTAAACTGAGGCCCAGAGAGTAACAAATTTGTCCAAGGTCACAAATCTAGGAAATGGTAGAACCTAGACTTGAACCCAGACATTCTGCCTCCAGAGTCCAAGGTCTTAAACACCAAGTAATACTGCTTCTTTATATGTCAACCTGCAATATAAAAAATAAGGGAAAGCCATGTGATCAAATAATATAGAGTATATGAGAAAACATTTCATGGTTTTAGCCTTTTATATATGTTAAAATATAACAAGTGATTTCAGCTTTCTCAAAATAAACATATAAATTATAAAACTGGAATTATAATATTTTCTGTTCAACATACTTCACAAAATATT